TTACAAGAAGAGAAAAATTTTAATCAATGAACTACTTAAACCTTGATTTTCAAAAAAGCCAGGATTAGATATAACTGTCAAAGTTCATTGACTTTTTCCTGTAACCATTTAACACACAAACATAGTCATCTTTTTGATATATATGTCATCAAAACAATTTTTAAAGACCTTAAATTGAAAAACTATGAATTATTTAAGCCTTGAAAATTCTGTATTTTTCAAATTCATTTTTTTGTGTAAAAAACCTGTCGTTTAATTTTGGTTAAAAACTTTCTTTAGGTAGCTGGTAGTGAAAATAATCTTCTTAATTTTTTGTATAATTTTTGTACGACCAGTTTTCATTTAATAACAAAAATTTCCCCCTCCCCCCTTCTTAATAAATCATTTTCCCGCGCGTCTTTCAGACGGGGGTCGATCACTTTGCTATGAATCTACAAAGACACAACGGTAAAAAATCAAATTTAGAATATTGCCTTTGCTTCAAAAATAAATTAACTTACATATTTAAAAGTTTTCAAATGTAAAGCGTATTTGAATATAGATTTTTAGGCAATTTTTGAATACCCCTTCCATCCCCCACGCCTTCATTTTTTTGCGTCGCAGGCATTAGTGTTTGACGAAACGTCGTTTACAGTTCAAATATACTAGTATTTCGTCACTTGAATTTCGGAGGTATGCATTAGTTTTTAAATTCATGGATGCAGAATAAATATTGACCACTGGTTTTATATGTATCAGAAAAAAATGCTGAAGGATTTCAGTGTTTAGCCCATATATGTATGAGTTATGCATTCTTTGTCACATGAAACCTGGATACGAATTCAAGTTATATTGAATATGTTGATTTTTAATTTTATTTCTTTAATTTTATTTATCAAAAAATTGTTTATGTTCAACTCTCCTGTGATATAAATGAAATAATTATAGTTTCAGAATTCTTTCATGTCATTATTTCAAACGAGACAGTATATGACCGTGGGGATACATCGGCATTTGCATACATGTACACCCCTCACGATGTTGTACGCATTCTTTCAATGTCGTTGCTTCTAAAGTTAAAATGAAAATTCCGTATTCGTCCACATTAACTTCAAAATATCAAACATTAAACAGTGTGTTGTACGTCTTTAAGTCAATTCTTTAAATCTTAACCAGAAAAGAATTTTGATAAAAAAGTTTCCTTTTTAATGAAAGATAAAAGATTTGGAAACTACAGACCCTAAACCGTGCTACTACACCACTTGAACGGTACGGTTCGGTACGCTTTGTGCACGGAACGGTACGCTTTGTGAACGTAACGGTTCGTTTTGAGAACGGTACGATACGCTTTGTGCACGGAACGGTTCGCTTTGTGCACGGAACGGTACGCTTTGTGCATGGAACGGTTCGCTTTGTGCACGGAACAGTACGCTTTGTGGACGGTACGTTTCGTTTCTTGCACGGAACGGTTCGTTTTGAGAACGGTACGCTTTGAGAAACGGTATGCAAATGAAGTGGGCGGAGCCTGTTAGCTTTAATTTTTTATTGGCTGCTAAAAATGTATTCATTTTAAATGACGTTTGAAGTACCTAATGCATGTATATAATTATATTTCAGCTTTTAACAAATTAATTTCTCGGTTTCAGTTAAACATTTTACACTACAGCGATGATGGAGGAAAAATGAAAAAAAAAATGAAAGGAAGAAAAAACATCATCCCACCGATGTCTTTGGCATTATGTATAGATATGTATTAATATATACAGAATTCGTAAATATTTCTGTATTTAATTTTTTTCGAAGTCTGTAAAAACAATGTCGTTAGAGAGAGAAAGAGAGAGAGAGAGAGAGGGGATAGAGAGATGCAAACCCTTAATACATGTACACTATCTGTAAAAAAAAATAACTTGTATTTATTCTTCCTCTTCGTTTTATTTACATCGCAAAAGTCACAATTAATCAGTCCATGATGCTGTTTAATCAACCCATTTACAACTATTGTGCAATGAATAATCCGTTCTCTGTATATACATGTATATGCATGCTGCCGCATGAAATCCTCGTGCATCAACTGTCAATCAAAATGGCATGACGCTAGGTGACCCAGAAAGTCTGTTTACGCAGGAAGAATTTCTCCTGTGATTTGAAACATTCTTTTGGTCAGTTCATAGTTCACACCTGTCTAAAAAAAATATTGGGTCAGAACCGGACAGACGGGGGAGGGGGGGGGGGGGCGTGTGTTTAACACACCTTTCAAATTATTTAGTTTTGGCCGCATCAAGTGTATTAAATCACTCAACAGACATCCAGCAAACTAATCTTCCAGGTTTCACCACAACACTGATTACAAATTTACTTCCTAAATTATCCCTTTTCAGACAAAAATAAATAAGCATGTATCCCTGAAATTATAATTTTCTTTTTTTACAAAACCACAATTTAAAGCCACATAAATTTGCATAAGTATCACCTTTTAGAAGGGGGGGGGGGGTAACAAACATACTATGGCTTGAAAGAGGATTGATATATTTTTTTAATTTCATTTTATTTAGTAAATTATCTTTTTTCAGACACTTATGAAAATGTTTCCTGTAGATTATGATTAATTTCAATTTACAACAACTTACTATATTTTGCAGACTTTTAGAGAACTTTTAACCAGTTAATTCGTATTGCTTTCTTAAAAGAGGATGGGGTTACAGTGTAACAAACCTTCATTTTTTCGCAAACTGGTTTTTTATGCGCCCGGATCGATAGATCCCGGGCGTATATTGTTTTTGTCCTGTCTGTTTGTCTGTTTATCTGTTTATCTGTTTGTCTGTTTGTCTGTTTGTCTTTCTGTCTGTTGTCAACTTTAACCTTCGCCATAACTTTTGAACCATAAGAGATACAGACTTCATATTTGGTATGCATACTCCACTAATAAAGATTTTTCAAATGACATCAAGGACAATGACCTTGTGACCTTGTCTGTGACCTATATGCTAAAAATAGTTTTTTCCACTGTTTGTCATAACTTTTGAACCGTAGGAGATAGGGACTTCATATTTGGTATACTTACTCCATTAATAAAGTCCTTTCAAATGATATCAGGTCAATGATCTTGTAACCTTGACTGTGCCCTATATGCTAAAAATAGTTTTTTCCACTGTTTGTCATAATTTTTGAACTATAGGAGATAGGGACTTCATATTTGGTATACTTACTCCATTAATAAAGTCCTTTCAGATGACATCAAAGTCAATGATCTTGTGACCTTGACTGTGACCTATATGCTAAAAATAGCTTTTTACACTTTTTACCATAACTTTTGAACCATTGGAGATAGGTAATTCATATTTGGTATGCATACTCCACCGATTAAGTTCTTTCAATTGACGCAAAGGTCAATGACCTTGTGACCTTGCCTGTGACCAATATGCTCAAAATAGATTTTTTGAACTTTTTTGTCGCCGGGCGCATAGTGTTTCACAAACACATCTTGTTTTTTTTTCATTTTTCATAAGATGTATTTCAGAATGAAGTAATATTTATACTGCAGTTTGCACATTTTATTTGCAAGAAATTCGGTTGGCGATTTTTGTATGCAGCGTGGAACTTGATCACAGTTTTATTAGTAAGATTATTATCTCTGTCTGTTCAGTAGAATTCTTCATGTTTACCGTAATATTTTAATCCATATTTTACATAATTACAGATTTTCAGTGCAAGTATAACTGCACCAATGATTCGCCTATAGTAAGAATCTGAACAGAATTAATGTGAGAGTCTATTACGGATCTTTTTAAATTTGACAGTTTGTATATATTTTAAAATTCTTACAAAATAATTCATTAGTAAAATCATGCATCTGATATGTACTACATATGAATGCATACTTACGACAAAAACGATCTTGTATCCGATAAGATTTAAATTAATAATTTAAATGAGCAGAATTAAAATCAAAAGCAGAGACAACCAGGGAATTAATTCATGAAAGCGTGTTCTATCTTAGTGGTATTATAGTCTATTGAACTTTTTTTTATATCAAATACAATTATAGGATTATGAAACATGAATTCATGTACATGTGCACATTTAAGGCGGTTTTTTTCCCCCGGGCACGAGCACAATTATATTGAATTTTGGGGCATCTTATGATATTAGTTAAAACATCTGTATTGTTTAATTACGAATATTTAAAAACAGCTAATATTTCAAAAGGAAATTGATATAATTTGCTAAAACTTGTAGTATGAAAATGAAAGACTTCAAAGTCGCCGACATTGTTCGAGGTCCACTGTGCCCCTTATGTGTTTTGCGGGAAAAACTCGTGGCCTGTACTGTACCTTTGACCACAAACACAACCAGTTGATTTAATTTATAGCAAATAAGGAATCGTCTCACACTCTTCTAGTTGTTTTGCAGTTGTAGTATGCTTCCAGTAGTTTCCTTATTTTTACAGTTGAAGATCCAGACGCATGATACTTGATAATGGTGTTTCAAACAGGCAGACACAACCTCCGTCCTCCTTTTACAGGCGCCGTAGCGAGAAATAAACCAAAATGACTTATTTGGTCATTATACGATTCAAAAAATCATTGGGGGCGTGGTTTGCATAACTAACCAAAGAACGGTACGGTTCGTTTCTTGCACGGAACGGTACGCTTTGTGGACGGTACGGTACGCTTTGTTCACGGAACGGTTCGCTTTGTGCACGGAAGGGTACGCTTTGTTCACGAAGCGGTTCGCTTTGTGGACGGTACGGTACGCTTTGTGCACGGTATGGTACGCTTTCTGCACGGAACGGTACGGTTCGTTTCTGAGGTGTAGTAGCACGGTTTAGGGTCTGTACCCTAATTTACATTATTGTGTTGCACTCCTGACATCTAACATATATTTTATTTAACATTTCTCAAAAATTATAACACACGAGATTCGAACCTATTTATAGTTTCTAAATCAAAGGATTTTATTTCAATTTTTCATTATTTACAGCAAGTTTTCATATTCTATAAACATGAAACTGCAATGTTTACCGCTTGATTGAAAAGTGCACTATCATCAACTCCCCATGGTGTCTCTAATCTCACTGAAAAAAATAAAGAAATAAAGTTATTCTAATAATACTATGCTTATTTTAGCTGATTGACTCTTCTACACCATGGACTACTTTTATTTACATGCATTAAATACGTTTTTCTTATTTCATAGGAAATCCAAGAATTTTAATCAATACTTTATGTCCGATACCTGTATAGATTTCTTGAGCATTTCTAATTTATGAACAAAACCTAAAATATAATTCAGTTTTGCATGTAACAGATTTTTAAAAATGATAAGGAAAGTTATTACCTCTGTTTTTCCGTAATTCGTCAAGTTGTGCTGTAACATAATTTAAATTGGTATATATATATAAAAGAAATAAAGTACGTTTCCTTCCTGAAAATCCTTAAAAACAAAGATACATAGCGGGTTCCAGGAAATGTTCAACCAATGCAAGTTTCTTTCTTTACAACACACTAATATATTCACAGTAGTGAAGAAGAAACTTTAAGAATACTGTGCAAAAATATATTCAAAAAGTGAAGTAAATCAGATGAGAATACTTAAAAAAATTTCAAGGAACTGTCGGACAATTTGAAATCACAAGATTGTACTAAAATCAAAAGATTAAATCTTTCACTTTTTCAACTTTGTACACAACCATTCCCAAGGATGAATTAGTCTCGAACCTTTTGGATATCATTTACAGCTGCTTTTTCGATAAAAATGGAACTTGTGAATTAACTAACCTTGTCACTGGTCATTTGCAAAATTATTTTGTTGAAAATCATTCTGATTGTACACACAAGTGTTCTGAAGTTGACATCAAAAAGATGCCCGATTTTCTGATTTAAAATATCTATATCTGGTTTTTGGAGACCAGGTCCTCCAACAATCTATTGGAATACCCATAGTTAACAAATGCGCTCCGTTCCTACAATGTAGCAGACCTTTTGTATTCATATGAAGCAGAATCTGTCCAAAATCTTATACGTGAAATGAAAAAAATTTCTGTAGTCTTTAACTAGACATTCAGATATATCTACGATGTTTAAAATTGTTTTTTTCCCTTCTTATGTCGATATTTCCCGGTGAGTTTGGATTAAAAGATATTACATAATCTTACACATCTGTTTCATACTTCAATTTTATTTAAACAGGGAAAACGAAAAAAAAAAATAAATAAAGAACGTGAATAACATATGATATGGCCGTCTAATTGTTTTATTTAAAACACATCTTGTTGAGCAAGTGTCATTTGAGTGAAATAAAAAGGGAATTTGAATTTTGAAAAAATGTTTTCAAAGTAACATGCAGGTAGAGACTAACAATAACTAAAAACAGAGAGAAGAAAAGAGATCTCATATCTAAATATAAAAAGCATGTCTATGATTATATCTTTAAAGAAAAAAAAATTCCATACGAGGTGCAATTCCATCTTGGTTTGGTTATATGAACTAATTACTGCATTTAAACAAAAGAAACATGGAACCAGCGTCAATAAGATTTTCATGGATCGATCTTTGAAAAAAAACATTCAATCTTTGTAGTACCCCGCGTCTGATCTAGAGTCACGAAGTAAGGAGTGGATCCTTACCTCGCAGGTTCGAATCCCACTGTGGGACGTGATGATCGGTCCTTCGGATGAGACCGTATAAACTGAGATCCTGTGCCGCAGTAGATGCTGGCACGAAAAAGATCCCTCCCTGCTCAATGGCGTTGAGTGTCGAGTGTTGAACAAAATTTGAAGCTCTCCACCAGCAGTTGGTGGCGTCTCGAAAATGTTTCGAAAGGTACGTTTAATAACATACAATCTATCAAACATTGAATCTAATATCTTTGGTAGAAAATACCACTTAACGACTGACTAGGGACAAATTTGATCAGAAAATTCAATGTAGCTTTTTTTGCTAAAATGTAGTCATGATCATGAGTCTTTGGTATGTTTGAATTACCTTAGTTACTTTCAATTATCTCACTATCATATACATGATCAGAAAAGAGTAAAAGCTCACAAAAGGAAGGGGGTAGCTTTGATTAACCTATATACTGAAATATTTTATAATGTATTTTAAATTATTGATTTGAGTTAGAATGTAAAAACATATGCTTCCTGTTCGATCAGGATCATACAATGACGGTTTTATTTTATAAAATGGCACACATATCTAACTAAGGTGCTATCTTGGAGCTGAAATTTCAATCGTGGTTCAAAGGAATTTACCCTTTGCGAGCACATACAAGCCAGTGGAGAACCTTGGTCATCTGTTACCTCTTTCTATTATATAGTATTGCATTTCCATATTCTATTTTCTAGTACAATTTCTTTGATTTACATAATAAACGTTTTTCACGATATAATCAATAGAGTCTCGGCCTAACTGCGGAACAACTGATCCAGGGGTCATGAAAATCACAATTTTGGAACTAACACCCTTCTTCATCATAACTTCATGTATATAAATAGTTCATTGTATTAATATGCACGAGCTGAGGAGAATTTTTTTTTGAACAATTAATGAATTTTTACTATGCAACACCAGGAAACCTGACCCAGGGGCCATGATATTCACAATGTTGGAAGAGGTACCCGTGCTCATCAAAACTATGAACATACATAATTGGATTCATATCTAAGAGCAGAGGAAAAGATTTGAAAAAAAATAATACATTTACATTGCGGCGAACATAGTATGCAGATTTTTTTTATTTGGAAAAAAGGCGGACATTTCGTGACGGCAGACAATACGTGAGATTTTTCCGAAAAAGGGACGTACATTTTGTGAAGGAGCACATAATGTTATTGATTGATTGATTGATTGTATACCGTTTAAAGTCCCTCTTCAGAGTATTTCACTGATATGGAGACGTCACCTTTGCCGGTGAAGGGCTGCAAATTAAGGCCTATGTTCGGCACTCAGGGCCATTGAGCAGAGAGGGATATTTATCATACCACACCTGCTGTGACACAGGGCCTCGGTTTATACGGTCTCATCCGAAGGACCGCCGTCTTTAAATAGTCGCATTTTACGACAAGCAAGGGGATACTGAGGACCTATTCTAACCCAGATACCCACATAATGTGACAGCGAATAAAACGTGACTCAACACCCCACCCTGGAACAAGAACCCCTGGCCCTGAGGCCGTGAATTTCACAATTTTGGAAGAGACACCCTTGCTCATCATAACAATAGAGGTTTTGGTCCCTCACATCAAGCCCAGGAAGGCAGGGATCATGAAATGCACAATTTTTATTTACCTTCACCCATAGATGCTTTATGCAAAAAATGGCCGATAATGGTGAAACAGTTTCAGAGTAGAAGCTGAAAATATTTAAATGTAAACGCACGACGGGCGACGCACAGCAATTAATAAAAACAGGTAGCAGTATATCACATGAGTTACTAAGGTAATCAAAAATTACATGAAAAAATTCAATTCAGATTAATTTTAAAAGAATTTGACATTTAAAGCTAGAAAAAAACATAGTTAAATAAAAAATAAAGTTATAACACACATTTATGTGCTGTATAAACGTTTGTCGATGGAAATGGATTTCCGTTGAGATTAAGTCAATCGTTCCCTAACAATAGTCTATAGTAAATCAAAGGGTCCACGTTACCACTATAGTAAATCAAAGATTTCAAAGTGTTCAGTAAAGTGTCAAATTGTTCACTTTACTTATTGAAATTCTTCAGAGTGATCACTAAAGTGTCATAGTTATAAAGTGTCATAGTTATCACTGACTATAGTTAATCAAAGTTATCATTGTTATCACTATCAGCTGTAAATAAAAGTGTCAAAGGTATCACTTTAGTAAATCAAAGTGTCAAAGTGTTCCATATAGTTAATCAAAGTTTTCATAGTGTCAAAGTTATCACAACGAGTATAGTTACTATTGTATTTTTGTTAAGGGTTTTTTTTTGTTCATTTACACACGTAAAAACATGACAAAAAGACAGACATAAGGATTTTCAATTCTGAAAAAGTGTTTACTCGTACTACAATTGTTTTGATATGAAAAGAAATAACATTCGCCATAAATTGCCACAATAAATTTATTGAAAAAAAAAAACATGCTTACAGGATGGTGCTTTGCAATATAATGATACATCATAAAATTTTAAAGAACTTTTAGAGACGAAAAAGAGAGATTAACGAAGATGATAAACCAACCTTCTAAACATTTTGCTCTTTCTTTCCATTCATCTGAAATATTATGAAATAAATAAATATTATAGAGAATGCATTGATTTTAAATGTATTTAATTTGCGCTTAACCTTTCAAACTGACGGACAAACTGAACAACTTTTCGCTATCAGGTTGTTTTATTTTCTTGATGCACAGTAGACTAAAAGTTTTATGCATACATGCAATGTTTATGTATAGAAGGTATCAAAGCATTGAATGAATGTTTGCACTTGCATTAATGTACTGCATGCATTGGAAGGAACAAAATCATGCGTATTCAAATTATGCAAATGATAATTATTGAGATTAAAAACAAAATCTTTGAAAGGGAAAATGATAAAGAAATCGTTGAAAAAAAACTTTTAAACTTTCAAAACTGGTTTGAAACAGAGGAGAAACAACTAAAATGGAGCCCAAATGAATACTAGTAGTAGCAGTATCTACAGCTAACTGTAAGGCTAAAACACTAAAAACAAATGAGCTTCATGGAATTCAGCTTATGTTTTCTGCTTAAGATTAAAGTCAAAGTCTCTGGAATTATTTATTCGTCATATATATTGAAGATTCCATCATTAATTCATAAATACTAGTAGTCTTTGATATATCAGCACATGCATATTGAATGATTTTAGGACCACAGTAAATGTATTCTTTCTACTTATGTTTTTTTTTAAATATCATGATTACATGTATCTAATTGCATAGATAGTAAAAATATATAAAAAATAAGCATACCTCTTTCATCTTCAAGTCCTTTGATCATATCTGTGGATGAAATATTGCGCTAATTTTTTTTGACTTGTCAAGTATGTTTTTGTGCAGGTTGAAAGATAAAACAAATATCCTATTATGATAATTAAACTTAAAATATAAATGAAAAGTATACTTAACTAATAATGATTAACAGATAAGTCAACCCGCAAGGATGACTAGTTTTACAAATATTCCTTTAAACAGCACTTTTTCTTTTATGGTGCCTATTTTCTATTAGCTACATGAATTTGGGCAAGAAAATTTGAGAGTACACGTTTTCATCTTCTTTTAAAAAAGGATTTTTAGGAAATAACAGTACAGTCATCTCAGTGAGCATCAATAAATCAGTGAATAATTGAATCTGATTTGTGTTTTAAACCAGAGGCCATGAAATACACAATTTCGAAAGAGGCGTCATTGCTTATCAAAACTATACACTTAGCATGCTTTATTTCGGTTACGTAATGCCCAGAGGTAGATCAGAGTAACATAGAGAAAATGCATTTCCTCTTCATCAGTTGTGCACCCTATCCCAAAGAAACAAATAACCCTTGGTCCACATCTTTCAAAATTTTGGAGATTTATAAATTTTATTTCATCATGTTGTTGATAAATACCAAATTGCAGATTTCAAAACATTAAGAAGGTACAGTTTGAGCTTTATTGTGCTTGGGGTCTTTTCTTACGTACTACATGACTGAAATTTCGTATCAAATAGCTCTACATTTTTAAATCAATAACTTCTGCATCAATACTTCCACCAGAATTTAAAACCTTAAAATAAAATAAAAAAAAAAATAAATAAATAAAAAAAAACCGTTTAGCCCCCCCTTTTTTTTTAGTCCTTTTTCAAATAAGGAAAAACAAATAAAATTTAAATTATGTCCCTGAGCTGGATTACTATCAATAATGAAAATCTAGATAATGTTTTGTAAAAAAGAAATTGCATCTCATTTGTACCAATTTATAATATAACGAATTTAAAATTATTTTAGCTGATTAAAAATTAATAGTTGTTATTAACCTGTCAGAAAAAACTACCAAGTAATAGCTTTTCAAAAAAGCTTGCCTGACTAATGCAATCAATATCTATAGAACCTATAATCATGATAAGTTATATATATATATAAACGTTTACATTGGGGGAGGGGTAATTATTTCATTAGAGTTAATTATGAATACGTCGAACAAAACATCATGCATTAATTTTAAGTTGTTCGCTACTTATGAAAGCAATGGAGAGCCTCGTTTTTGAAAGTGTGGTGGGGGGGGGGGGGCTAGATAAAAGTAAGGTTGGGAAAAAAGGAGGAGACAGCCCCCCCCCCCCCCCTGTTGCTACGTGTCTGATGGAAAAGGAACAGTGAGATTTTATTTAAAAGGTATATTTTGTATGTGTTAAAAATTGGTTTTGATCTGTTTTTCGTTTGTTGTATAATGACGCCTGTGGAGTGTTACAAATACTTGGAACTCGGGACCAATGAGCAGTTTCATGCAATCTTTTTCGTGCTAACACCTACTGCGACTCGGGACTTGGTTTTAAACGGTCTCATCCTAAGGACCGATCTCCACGTCCTGCAGTGGATTCGAACACGCGACGTAAAGCTCAGCTCCTCATTCCGCAACTCTATAAATGGTTTTAGAAGATGTAGTTATTAAAAAAGGGAAATGAACTAATGAATTAATGTATGTTGGAAAGCCGTGCCTATATATGTAAAGGTTATATATTTATTTTAAAATTAAAATTTAGAATTAGATTCAACTGCATAGACTACCAGGAAGACAGCTGAGAATATGATAACTACAAGAAATAAATGAATCGTTATGATTAACATGCAGAATATGTTTAAGTACTAGATTGTTGGGTATGCCAGAGCATCAAAGATTGTTGGAAACATCCCGTTATGCATAAATGACCTAACGAACTTGACGGTGATTCCTTATATTCCTTAATCCTGGAATAGGAGGGACACTTTTCCTAGGTCTATTTTCTGTGTTTCATTGGAGAAAGAATTTTATCTCTGAAAACTGGGAGGGGGGCTGCGAGTCCGGGCGAGATATGATCAGAAATATTATGCATATTTGGCCAGTTTTCCTCTTAAGAACTGTTTTTCCGTTTCGTTTTATTTACTTTAAATTATGATGTAACTTCTAAATTTTTTCACAATATCACCGATATGTTTTTTTTCCCAAAGTTCGAAATTCCGATAAAAAGAACAGACTTGAAGTTTTTATTTCCATTCAGTGCAGTAGAATCATCCGGGAAAAGGGCGCGAAGATATACACGTGACATTTGGCGCAAAATGATTGTGACACCCCTTACCTAGAAGAAAAATGGACTCATCCAATAGTACAGAAACGCAGAAAAAAGGTCAAACGGACATGTCCGTATATGAAATCGCATTAAATAATCAGCTGCATGCAAAAAAACTAAAGGAAATAAACACATCAATATATTGTATCAGTAAGACGGTTATTTTTTTCTGCTAAATGTTTTGTTGAAACGGAGGTAACAAATTCCAGTGATAATCAGCATGCACAAAATTTTGCTGGCTAACTGTGACCTCTTCCCTTCGCACCTAGGAAATATCAATCCTTATACAGCCTGACGCCGTGACGTCAGGCAATCATTTCCTTTCGTTTTCGATTCCTTTCAGAAAAAAATCCACAGTGCTCGGTAGTTTACATGTAAATCTTTTTTAAAAAGAAACACGAAAACCTTCAGTTTACCTTAAGCGCTTTCATTTCAAATCTTCAGAAGCTTTATAAAGCATTTTTGAATTGTAAAACGTCTGAAGAAATAATGAAGAAAGCTCTTACGTTTTACTAACATTGTTGCCTTGTCAATTTTTTTTTTCTAATATTAATTACCGGACACTGTGCTATTTCTTTTCATATATATATATATATATAATTTAAGAAAAATCCAGTGTTTTGGTACAGTAAAATATATCCAATGAAAAAAAGTCAGAAATCACAAATCTCGAAAAATCATTTTTACTGTTAGCGCTTTCTGCCTAATGGCTTACTGTTAGCGCTTTCTGCCTAATGGCTTACTGTTAGCGCTTTTATTTATTTTCTACATGTTTTTTGGCTTATTTTAGTGATTGTAACGGTGCGAATTAAAATGCTACCTTTTAACGTTATTATGACGTCACAATGGACAATACTTGACGTCGTGCTTATGAACGTTACTAAGCAATCTTATATTTAACTTTTAACTGTCTGAAGAGCCATTAGGCAGAAAGCGCTAACATTAAAAATGATTTTTCGAGATTTGTGATTTCTGACTTTTTTTCATTGGATATATATAAGGATTGCAGTAAATGTTTTGTGATATTTTTGGATTTTTACCTTTAAATATATATATATATATATATATATATATATAGTTTTAAAATTTCATGGTTCGTAAGATCTCTAAATCGTACTGTGTGTTTTGTTTACAGCCCGTTTGATAGTTTTTTTTAATCACACGTCGGTTTATGCAATTTTTGTGAAAATTCGAGATATGATAGACCATTAAAAGGCTACTATATACGTTTTTTTTTTCTTTGAATGACACCACACCCAGTTTGTATTTTTGCGGATTGGTTATTACGCAGCAACTAATGAGTCAAAGGTCGTGAATTGAGGTTACTCTAGACAATAACGGACGTATGCGAAAATGGCATATTATTATTTTAAATTTTAGCGATTTTCTAATAAAACGTGCTTAATATTTAAGGAAATAAGCTTCATTCCTTATAATTTAATTTCAATGTAGACAATGAAATAATTTTGCCAATTTTCTTTAAAGGCTTTAAATATAGCATATTTTAAAAGTTAACTTCAAGCGGAGTAATACGTTTCTGACTTAACTCATTGTGACGTAGACAAGTTATGCTATACAAAATGGATAAAATCGTTTAACCAATCAAATGACGTGTTACAACTAAGATTAAATTATTTGGCGATATTCAATTCTACTGATCTCAGCAAGCCAACAATACCAAAATTTAATCCTCTAAAAACTCTTATACGGCAGTAAATGTTCAAAAAGACTTCTGACCTCATTTTACATAAGAATGGTAATTTCCAACAAAAAAAGAAAGTAGTCATATGAACGGAATGCCTACTTGTTGTTCATCAACGAGCTTTTCTCTAATTATTATTTTCCTATATTGTTTGTTTGCCTCTGGAACTATATATCATTTTTTATTTTAAAAATAAAAAAAATGTATGAGGCATATTTTTGTGCATATCTTAAGGGCCATCAAATTGAATATATATTATTATACATGTATATTATCTTTTAATACGAAATGAAAATATTAAAAAAACATATATGAAGTTACCTGCGCGTATTAGTGTCCTCCACATCCACATCATTAATATTGCCTAAGGAATACCATAAACAAATTGTAATTATTATACATGTTATAGGTGCACATTACATATATTTATAAACACTGACTGGTGAAGTAAAGACAATTCAATCTCTATTTTCCCAGAAAGATAGATTGAACGTAAGAATGATATCAAAAATTTTTCGTACAATCCAGAAAATGTTTCTTACTTGAACAGTGAAGAATTCTAGAATATTCCATGCAAGAATAACAAACAAAACGAAAGTAAAAAAAAGGGTAATATTAATTGGAAATACCCTTGAAATACCTTAAACATGCGCACTGCAACAAAAGGAGGAATGTTCGACAATTGTCTGGTATGAATTTTTTTTTCTATATGCTTATTTTTCGTATATTTTTCCATCAGATTCAAAGCTTATCATCAATGAATCAGTGAAAATTTCATCTTTGAATTGTGCATGTTACTTTAATGGACACAAAGTGTAAAGTGAATTCACACAGCGATACATTTATTTTTAGGTCCTGAAAAACGTGTTAAAATTGCCATTTTTTCGAAAAAGATCAGTATTCATGATCATTGCATGTTGGTTAAAAGCAGTACAACCACGATCTGAAAAATCTTCCAGACCCACTATGCCACCAGTTATGCCATATATAATGACAAGGTAATGTATTACCCTACATTGCATACATGAACCTATTGATTGTTTAAAGGTGATCAGATGTTTCAGTTAACTATTGTTCCAATAATAGCATGTCAATTGCGATTTGCTTGATTGACTGAGTAAATTGATAACCATATTATTCATTGATTGGATGGTTAATTCGAATAAAATCAATGCTACAGTATTGTGACATTAATGAGTTCGCAAAATGGCCGCCGTCGTTCATGCGTGCGCTGCGCTTGCTGAATGTAAAACCCAATTTCTATCAATCAAATAATATTACCACTTACCTTTTTGGGAGTTGAACTATGTTCAATCTCCCATGGTCATCACGTATTTAACATGCGCAGTAATTTGTGTTGATTATATAGAGCCGAAAGCGAGGCTACTGTGTCGGCTGATTTACTCCGATGATATTCAACGGAAAACATGCATAAACATCCGCCACAAATAGTTCATGTCAATTTCTCCTGAATTGATCTAATTTTCATAATTTGAAATATAAGTAAATGTAATAATGATAAAGTAATCTTATTTTGAATATTAGATTTCGTTCAAAGTAAAAATAAATTATAAAGAACCTCAAAAGTTTTTTTTTCGTAATGGAACTCATTTTTTTGTGTGGCGTCATACACTGAAAAAGATACCATCGACAACTCTACATACTAACGGCAAGCGGTAAATCTAGTCGTCCCGATGCCCGACGGTCCCGGATTTTTAGCAATTTCTTTTTTACCGGTGCACAGAATTTATTCAAACTTTTTATGAACATTTCCTTGGTTTAAATGAATTCATTAATGCATAAAAACTTTAGGAAACATGCGTATTTATTACTAAATCAGCAGTATCACCTGCCAAAAGCGGTAAATCTAGTACTCTGTTATAAATGTTAAAACCAAAAAACGGACACTGATGTTTTCGTAAAATCATTTCGTAAAAACAACAAAATGAAGTTTTTTTTTAATAAAAGGAAAACCTCATTTACATACAGATAACTCGTACGCACACAAACTCTCACATATACCACTGTTTTTATGTTTGGTCATTAAATATTTGTTTTAAACTTGGTATTGCTTTTTTCTTCACAATATTAAAAAAGATTTAAGTTCTGACGTAGTCCATGTATAATGTTCGTGTAATTATAATACATTTATATTCACAGAGAAGTTTTATATAACAAATCTGTTAGCTCTTAAAAGGATGCTGTGTTAAAATTCACATTTTATCAACATTGATATTATTCCTGCGAAACTGAAATTTTCATAACACATGGGTAAAGGTGCCAAGGAAAACTATCTTAAAAATTTGAAGACTGTGAGCAGTTAATTATATAAATGATAAACCGCCTCTAATATGAATATAATGGCAGTGTCCATAATTTGCAATGGGAAAACCAAAATATGTGTAGGATGGAAAAGTAATAGAAGGTGCACAACGGCAATATGTAATAAAGATTCTATGAAAATTTCGTTCTATGGTGTAAGAGGAGTTGCGGCTAAGAGATTGGTATACCTAAAGCGTAACAAACAGATAAACGGAAATCCAGATTAATAAATACCCTCCCGCTTTTCAAGCAGGGGTTATAAAAAAGGACTAATGTAGGCAGGCAACAATATGGCCCCTGCATTTTTTTGCTATTCAATGTCTCTGAATGTCTTTCTCAAGATTTTTGCAACCCAAAAAAAAACTGAAACAGTTGTCTGCATTTGAAATATTGTTCACTCACGTAACCTCCTGATTGAAGATTTTATTTAACACCACCTTCAACTCCCATGAGTGCTTTCAGTACTTTGATTTGTGTAAGCACTTTGTTATATGACCTCTAGAGCGTAGAACACTTCGAATTTTCTTAGGAATGCTTGCATATAAACTCTGAATATAGTGCAAAGGGAGGCTACCCCATATTTCATGGACGATTCGCTCCAGATCATTAGCGTTTCTGATCTCCTGTGTCCTCCTTTGTACACGGATTTTGAACACTCTTCAGACATTTTCTATTATATTGAGATCAGAACTTTGCGGGGGCCATGGTAGAGTGTTAAAGTTGTTGTCTTGTTTCCAACTGTTTGAGAAAGCGGAGACATGACAGGGGGCATTGTCTTCTTGGAAAGTCCAGCGTCGGTTTGTGAAATGACGAGCGATCACAGGCCAAAGACACTCATCAACAATTGTAATATATTTCTCGCTTTTCATGTTCCCATCCACAGTTTTATGGCACCAACTCCATTATAACATATGCAACCCCAAAACATGAGGGAGGCCCGACAGTTCGTTTCACAATCACCACGCAACCCGACACATTCAGGACGTATTCTTTCCTCACTCTTCCTCCAGACATGAAATTAATTGTTAATACAACAACTATCTTAGTATCATAACTGAATATTATTGATGACCAATGATTATTTACTGTCCAATGTAATTTCTGTCGACAAAATCGGGTTCTCTTCTCTCTATTCACACGTGAAACAGTTGTTTTCTTAGAAACTACACACCTTTTGTAACCTTCCTCTGATAATCGTCTGTGAACTGTTCTGAGTGACACATTAGATTCTGTCCTGGCATTGAATCTGGATGTAATATCTTTTAAATTCTGACGACGGTTGATTTAAATGCTTCGAAAAAGAACCCTAGCTGTCATCTCTTTGTGAAGTTTTCCGTTTCACCCCACTTCTCCGTAAATTTTCTATATTACCTCTTTCCCTCACACGTTTGAGAAACTTTTGGATGGTACGACTGTTTATTCCGGTTAAATTCTCAATTGTATAGCTTGATAGGCCTTCATTTGACATCTGAATGATTATTTCTATTAGATCACTCGTCAATTCTCGACCATGGGGAGCCAAATCTCCCAGCAGACGATAATTGTTTATCAAAGGGGAATAATTCCCAATTTACAGCAGTGGACCGATTTAGTTACACGTAAGTCATACCTACATTTCAACTGAATTTTTTTTTCATTTAAAAGAAGCGAATTACCTAATTCAGCAACTGATTCACCACCCATCTTAAATACTTACGATGACTGCGACCATTTTGAGAACTCATTTATGTCACATTACTGTACTTTGAATATGAAACACAGAATTCAACAATACCACGATAACACTGGGCAATCACACTGGATGATTGTTTACCAGTGTGGAATGTATAGTGTAGCGCCATTGAGGTAAACGGCCAAATTTATTCCTACATTCCTTATACGTAATCATGAAAAAAACACTGCCTTAAAATCTCCCCAGTGTTCGAAATAAAACGATCTGGTAAATTTTATATACAATTTATTTACAGGGACAGGTGCCAAAAAAAAACCACAATAATTTTTAAGACAATAAACCACTATCTTCTGAACGGTCTATATACATGCATATGTAATGTCTAAATCGAGTCGTTTTTGAACTGGACCTTTCGGGCGGTCCTTAATAGAGGCTTGCTCTTGTTTATCGTAATTTGATTGGCTGTCGGCATGAGACTGTTCTGCTTCGGCAACACTGGTCAAAAAGGTGACTGGCGATGACTTCAAACGAGTTCGGCCGGGTCTCTCGCTCGCAGCTGGCACGCATCCGTCAGACTGTGGGTGATACGGCCTGGTTTTAGTTTTACCAATTTGCAATAAATAACACTTTTACTGAAAAGTTTACTTTCAAATTGTTTGCCTTGGTCAGAATGATTTGTGTCTGGTCATCCATATCGCTAAAACCAATCCTTGAAAAAGACTTTGGCTACTGTCTTAGCTTCGATGTTCATGAACTGTTATATCTCATTAAAATTAATAAAATAATCAATCAATGCTACAATATATGCATATACCTGCCCTGATTTAGGAAATGGTCCCACAATGTGATTTGTGATTCTTTCAAATGGTTCTCTACTCCGAAGACTTTAGACTTGTGACTTCTTTCTTCCTAAAGTGGTTTCTCCTAACTTCACCCATGGAACCATTTCACACTTTCACTGTTTGGACTTTCAGTAAAGCGTGGCATTCTCAACGCATTCCGCTTAGTTTAGCTTATTTCTCACGAACGCTTTCACAGCTTAAAGACATCAAGAGCTGCTTTTGTGCTTTTGCTCTAGCAGGTCTATTACATCTCGGCTTTAGAGTAAGCGAAAAAAACATCAAATTAAGAAGAATGGACATAATTCTTTTCCTCTCCACATAACAGTTTAAGTTCTAACGCATCGTTATGGTCACTATCTGTAGAATAATTTCTTGGTTCTGTTAGATGTGAGAATTTCCGATTGACATTATAGTCATTTTTCTCGCGTTTAGATTATTGCTTGCATGGAAGACGAGATTATGCATCTGCATATCCATGTTGTTCCCCTGCCCGGTGTTCGATCCGTAAAACGTATGGCTCAAGTTTGACAATCGCACTTTTGAGATCCATGAAGCCATATTAAAGATTAATGGTTTGTTTGGTGTTAAGACTCTCTACCAAGAACATAATGCTTGTAATATCTAATAAAATACACAACTGCTAGCATTTCTTTGCACGTAACACAGTAATTCTGCTCACAATTTGCAACACACGGTTTCCATATGAAGTGAAAACTTTTCGTTTATTTTTGTATTTGCGACAGTAAAGCACAAATAGAAATTTTTACTGGCGTCAGTGTTTAACAAAAAGTCTGCACCATCTTGGTATAGATATCCTAGAATAGAAGCTGAAATGTTTCTCTTTCAAAGTTTAAAAGGCTGTGTCACACTCCCCGGTTCAATTCCACACACTTTTCTTTCCAGTAATGACATGCAAACATCTGACAATTTCAGCCAAGTCCTGTACAAATCGTCGATAATAAACTACTAATTCAAGGAAACTTGTTATTTCGGACTCAATTTCTGGCTTTTTCCAGTTCTAAACTGCTTTGATTTTTGCTGGGTCGGTTTTTATACCATTCTCACGTACAGTATGTCCCTGTAGGCTATCCTCGTAGGCTGTAGGCTTACTTAAATTGCACTTCGTAGCCTTTAGTTTTAAATTCACAATCTGTAGCCTATTAAATGCTAATGTACACAATATTATCATCCAGGTAAATTAAGCACTGCCACTTTTCATTGCAATCCAGTTAGTGATTGTATCAAGATCAATTCCGTTTTTTTTCACTCATATCACTTGAATCTGTTAAATATATATGTCAAGGAACAAGGTATTGTTTCCTCCATATAAATCTTCCCTGTAATTTTCTAAAAAATGAAACTGGTGTAAGAGATAAAAACTCATGCTCTTTGAATCATTTAGATTCCAGGCAGGAAAATCATACAAATCATTTTTTCTATTATGTGTTTTTAAATGCTAATTGTGACGCAATAAACATGTGCAGTTTCCCATATTTTCTTAAAAAGTTGCAGAAGACACCAATTTTAATAGAATTTTCTTTCAGTGAATATTGTCCGCAGGCATCGCCCACAAAGATCTTGAGATATGTGAATTTTATTGACTTTTGCACAATATATAAAAAAAATTAAGTGGGCGACGTCTGTGGAAATTATTTTCTATAGGACAAACACCGTTGAGATTGGCCATTTTGAGGCTTTTTGTGTTAGAAATAGACAATGTATCACATTAGTGACCTCATATTTGCAGAATCGTAATCCTTTGTACCATATTTTCCCTGATTTATCCTAGCCATAAACTTAACTTATATTTAAAACAGTTTCAAAACCTTTTGATGACATTACACTTTAGAGCACAAAAAAGCTGAACACTAATACCTTCTTATTTTGTTGCAATGTGACAATAAAAAGAAAACGTTATGACAAAAGTCTACGATCTTTTAAAATACCCCTGTATAGTAATTTATAGTGTTCCATGGAACGCATGTGTCGCCTGCTTTTAGTTTTTACAAAGATCTTATTCTAAGAGTTGTCAGCTTTCACATAGATTTTATGCTACTAGCATATAGAGTATTTCATGTCAAAACAATTCGAGCATAAATGCACAATAAAACATTCACACATAGTATAAGACTGCAAAAGAGTACTAGTATATACCCTCCCACCCCCAACCCCACCCCCACACCCCCGAATATGATTCCCAACCCTTAAATAAAAATAAAAAGTCGAAATCATTATATATAAATATTTAGTATAATGTCTTAATATTCATAATGTTTCAAAGTCTTTACACCAATTGTCACTCTACACGATCCGTTGTGCGATGTGTTTTATTCTCATAAAACCGGTATTTTAAAACATAAATTAAAATATCCGTTTGTGTGGTTACTGAAAATCATGCAGTTTTAACGAATAGTGTTATGAGTCATAAGCTTGTATAAATGTTAATTATCAACACCTGCCCTTCAAAATTCAAAAGACTTTCGTTAAAGTAAATTGTTCGGGAGTTTCTTTGTAAGGTAGGTTAAAGATCAAGGTCAAGTGAAAATTTTAATATATATATAATATATATAATAAAAAAATAATTTCGGTGTTGTGATTTATATATATATATATATATATATATATATATATATATATATATATATATATATATATATATATATATATATATATATATATAATACATTATAGAAAGCAAAATGAAAAAATATATATATAATCATATTCCACATAAAACATAAGGACACTGTATCAACTATTATGTGGCTAGAAACCTAAGAAAGGAATCAGTTTATGAATTGTTGGTCATATTGAAATATATAGTAAAATACAAAGTATGAAAAATATTGACTGGCAATTATTTCAGCTCAAATTAACCTTCACCCTGAAGAATCTATATTATAACGATATACATACTTGTTCTAAGAATTATAATTTTGTACTTAAAAAAATAATGTGTAATATTCATATAATTAAAACATTTCTTTAATTGATATAAGTGTATTGTTTCTTTTAGAAGTACGGTAGAGGAATCAGATGCATCCTTACGGTCGAGGGTATCGGCGCCAGTTGTAATTTTCGTCTTAGCCATTTTTGTTTGCATTGGATATAGTACGTCAACAAATTTATTCTTTCTTTCACATTTTATTTTTTATTTCTTAAATCTCTATATTTATGCTTTTAAAGACAAATTTGTTTTACTCAGAGAAATACAAGAAAAGTTACAGAGAAAAAAGCACAGAAACAGGTAATAAAAGAATAATTTGATAAAAGACTTTGTTTTGTCTGTTAATACTATTACTGTTAAGATATATTTAACTAAATTAAATACAAATGTATAATTTTGATACATTCAGACAACTGGATGTTTTCTCTTTCGTTTCAAATGAAACAGATGTCTTTATTATCCAAAAAAGAACAGAATTTACTTCTAGTTCTAGTGTAAATATTTTTCGTTGAAGTGTAAAAGATCAAAGTGACCATATCTTACAATATACAGTAACATCAGGCGCGTTGCATCGCTTTTGAAAGTGGGGGAGGGGGGCAGCCAGACATTTTTTTTACTTACCTGGAAAAGTTGACAAGCAATAGAAAAACATTTCCATGCCGACTTCTTTCAGTACCAATTTTTTAAGCATAATTATAATAATTCATTTCCCTTATATTACTTTACCGTATACGTAGTATTAACTGGGGAAGCAACCTGTTCTTCAGTGAACATTTTCAATAGTAAAAGTAATGTTAAGGTCAAGATCTAGTAAATAACTTTAGACTAACTTTTTGGTGCTAGATCCATTATGACGTCATAATCAATTTCAACTTTCTTTTTCCCGTACTTTACGGCTTTAGTAGAATTATGTAGAAAATACGGTGTTTTCTTGACATTCAATTTGAAATCATATGAAAAGTAAACCGGATACCTATATTAAATTTGATATTGATTTAAAGAAAAGGCCATGAACGTACTAATTACCGTTTTCTGATAGACTGTAGGCAATCTGGATACATTTCTTTCGTCGAATATGAAAAAAACTCCCATATTCATGACTGGTTTTCTTAATTTTTCATTGAAAATGACAGTTCAAAATACAGTTTTTCATCTTGTTTACCTACAAATTATGCCCCGAAACACCTTATTTGACCAAGCTAAAGTTGTAAAGCATCAATAAAGGAATTTATTTCTCAAATTTGATAAATCTGTAGGCACCTTTCATTTACTAGATCTTGACCTTAAGGAAAAAAGTAGGGGACCAGGCCTGAATATGAATTCAAAATGTATCATAAACAAGACAAAAAAATTAACTCATTAAAAAATACAATCAGTCAAACCAACTACACATCTCATCAGACATATTTAATGTTAATATAGACAAAAAAGGAATGTTTTTTTATCCCCTCTTGCAGTGCAACTCGTTAAAGCATATTGGCAATATTTAAAGAGAAGCACCACAAATCGATTTTCAGTTTTCAAATACTTATTTTGCATTGTTAAAGGACAAACCTTTCTTTCATTTAAAGTTCATCAGGGGACAGAATGAGTGCACTTTAGTACGTCGTTTGGAACCTTTTCGGCTATCTATTTACATGACTTCACATTAAAATGTATCGCTAAACTGAAAGGTCAATGAAACAATTGCTTTGAGGAACTACGTGCGCCTCAAGAATAAATTCCATAAGTTTGAAAATTTCGTACATTGTAATCAAACCATCAAATTATTGCAATATCTCAGCGTCATTTTATTTATTCATTAAACGTAAGTTGATAGAAAATTCCAGAATTTTCCAGAGTGATTGAGGTGGCAGGGGATAGTTTCGGATTAAGTACCGGTCAAAAGTTAGAAAAAATTTAGAAACCTTACGTTTGAATATATATTATGGGTTATTTTATGATTAAAATATCGGGATGGGTTCATAGGATGAATTATAGCTTGAAAGCGAGGTAATTGAGCCATTTAATGTGCAGTTTAATGATTGTCATGTACCAATTTTTTTCTGCAATTTGTGTGGTAGCTTCTAAAGGTCATTAGCACGGGCCTGGAAGCGGTTGAGGTTCCGATGAAAAAGTGAAATAGGCTAAATTTACATGAAATGTTGAGATTGTTCCTGTGCCATTATTAGGGATCATTGTGTAAGTTGTACATGTTTTATTCTTAAAAGCTGCAATTTTCTCAAGGGAATAGATCATACTATTATTACATGCAAAGAGAATCTAAAATTTTCCAAAGCGCATTTTTATACCAGCTCAAAATTAAGTAAATCGTCAATCAAACAATTTGATTGCCAACAAAACTACCCTCTGCCACCTACGCATAAGTGAGAATTGTCAAGTCGTACATAAAATTTCAAGCTTCGAAAGTAGTAAACACGTGATATCTAAATATTTCATTAATTGGAAAATGGATAAGACTTGTCCTCTTCCAATGCAACATAATTAAAGTATGTGGAAGATGAGATATCATTGTCCATAGGTTCGTTTTAAATCTTGCCTACATGCTTCAACGTTCACACTTACACACACACCCTCACCATCCTTAACATATACGAGATGCTATACTCTTCTTTCTGACCTGATTAATGGGCGCCCAATTATGTGTTTTGATCACAGGACTTGACGCCATGAAGGTGTTGACAACGTCACACACAGCTGGAACGATTCATTGATCATTGATTATGATACACATCAATGTGACGTCATTACGTCAAAGTTGACGCTTTTCGTACAGAGTGAGAGGCTGATTTAGTTTTTAAATTTTACATTAGAATTAAAATGAGTTAAATTTTGTACAATGAAAAATCTATTTCATAAAAATAAATATCTTTTGTAATTTTTAAAAGGCCATTAACTTGGATGCGATATCAATTCTATTCATATACAGTCCGTATATTTTCTAGACAAGTGATATGGTCATATATTTGTATGCACATTCTATTGAAAAAGTAAAAAGTAATATAATGATCCCAATAGATCAATATATCATGTCAATGTTTTACACCTTCAATCAAATATCAATTATTTGCATGTTAATTAATACACTGTAACACCTATAATAAATGCTGTTAACATGCGATCTAACAAATGTAACTATAGTAATTAAATATTAAAATCTATATAGGTTAGCAGCATATTTCATGAGGTAAATATAGTGTTAGAACATATAAATTGATCTTTCATTATTTGATTGGTTATGTCCTTGCAATATTATAAAAGATAGTTTTTATAAGACACAAATTAACAAGAGTTATTCCCGTTGGCTGCCATTTTTTTGTGGTCACCCCCTTGTACATGCTGGTAATTTTTCCTCTCTGTCCTACCAAACATAAGAGGTTGTTGCAGAAATATTTGGGGGATCTTTATGGCATTATGAAATAAAGGAGGATCTAACGAATATATATATTTTTTTAGAAAAACAATGCTTCCTACCTCACAATTGCCATAATGAATATAAAAAATTAAAATTGGTTGAATAATGAAGGAATATGAGTATACGAGGGGTGATCAAAAAGTTCGCGAACAAATTGAATAACTTCCACAAAACAAATTGGATTAGGTTTCAGTTTTTTTTTAAGTAGCCCTCTACGAATTTAATGCATATCTGCCACCGGTCTGCCCATGCGCGATTCACATTATGCGGGGGTCACGTGACATGCTCTGAAGCAATCTGTTCATAGACGCTAAATTATTTTTCCGAGTCTTATATTATCATGCAAGTTGACTTTTATAACAAGAACAGACCATTTGTCAGATATGACGAGATCTCAGAAATAGTATACCAGTTGTTGGATAAGGATATCCTTTCACAAAAGAACATGGTGACCATCACAACCCGAGTCCTCTGTTTTAGGAAAGTCGCTTATCTATCATGGATATAGTTATTTGGGCCTTCTTTTTGTCATGTTAAATAATTATGTTAATAGTCTAATTAAGTGATATATTTATAGGGATTCAATAATACTACAATTGTTGAGATATTCGTCTATTTTACTAGCTGTAATTTCGCAGACAAAGTGCAAACAAAGTTTCATAATAAAGGATTTAACAAAAGGACACACTTCTTCCTTAGCTTGTCGTCGCTAGGTTACAAAACAAACATCATTTACAGCCATTCCGAGCTCTAGTAAGCCTGTGACAACCATTTTTTTCTTTACGAGTCACCTACATATTGACGTCATTTTTACATTGTAAAGTCACAATGATGGGAAAAATTATTACTATTTATATTATATTTATAAAACATGTGTATGACTATATGTGTACCGAAGGATGATTGCACTTAACGCTGTGCTTTGGTTCTTTTTCGGTCACTTCTTTTGCTTTAAAATCTTAACCTAAGTTCACTTTTATATATTTACTACATTGTTCTATAAATAAGAGGCCACATTTAAATAATAAAAATAATTTTTGACTGTAATGAAATACATAATTTCATGTTTCTGTCCCAACGGTTTTCTAAGTTCATAGAATTTACACTTATCAATCCTTGATTGATCAATATGTATGTATGAAAGACGGGGTTAACTAATCGTAAGAATGAATATAAATTTAGACTACGTGAATAACAATGCCATGTATTAAAAATACGAGATCTCTATTTTTCATTTTCCTATTTATACAGTACGGCACAAATACAATATATACAAAGGTTTAAAACGTATTAGTCCATCAATGTAAGTAAAGAATATTTAAAATCAATAGCTAACTATTAAACATGTATGAGCACAGTATCCAATTTAGCAAAAACATGCTACATGAACCTATAAGTCATTTGACGGAAATTTGTATTTACAAAAATTCCTGAGGAAAGATATCACGTGGTGAATTATATTATTCAACGTGTCACAGCCCTTGGTTACAGCATTTAGAGAATGTGAAGAAGAAGCATTTTTTTCTTTTAAACCATGAGCGCATGTTTGTCTATTGATCTCCTTTTAACACAAAATAACTAATACTAAAATATTTAACTATTGTTAAAAGAAGAACAATAGACAGACATGCGCTGACTTTGTGTAAAGTCAGCAAAGAAGTGGGGACCTCTTTATCATACGAAGATTAAAGAATTTGTGATGACCCCCGTCTTAGAAAACAGATTCTTACATACATCATTAATAAATACGTTTATTATTGTTATTAAGTTATAAATTAGATGTTAATCATCCCTGCAATTAAAAGAAAAATGACTATTTTGAAAGATTATTTTAACGCATATTTTACAGATCCTTAAGTGTAGTCATCCTAGGCTTTCATTATGATCTGAATCGTGGTTTTGTAAATAAAGAGATGGATAGTTTGCGAAATTTTTTATCAACCCTTGTTAATTTGGGTCTACTGAAAACTAGCTATTTGTAGATGGCCTGAAAATGCAAGTAAAAATTGCTTTAATCAAGTGACTCCAACATCATATGATAAATATAAAGAAAAAAACTAAATGTCTTTAACGTGTAGAATTAAACCATATTTTAGTTGTCTGATATAAGTAATGTCCTAAAAGAATCGTGCATTTTTGTAAAGACTTTTTTATCTTCGCGTAGAGATATATTAAATATTTCCATTTGTCAAATTAACTGTACTGCACTCTACGTGACTTATAGTCTTTTTAATGTCATTTATTTTGTTGTAATTTGCAGTTAAGATTTTGGTTCAGGAAGACGAAAATCGAACAAAACCAGACTACATTTCCACTTTAAAGTCTTTTATTATAAGGGAATTGCATCTACAAGTTGAATTTGTCACTAAAGTACGGCCTGCTAGAAAATACTTGTTGCCCTGCAAACTCAAAAACAGACTTCCCGAAGAAATCAAACGTAAGCTGAAGGATATGGATTTTACAGGTATATATATTTTTAGGTCACCTGAGTAAACTCAGGTGACCTATTGCTATCTGTTTTCGTCCGTCGTCGTGCGTCGTCCGTCGTCCGTCGTGCGTTAACATTTGAACATTTTCAGCTTCTTCTCTGCAACCACTGAACCAATTTCAACCAAATTTGGCACAAAGCATCTATGGGTAAAGGGGAACAAAAATTGTAAATTTCATGATCCCTGCCACCCCTGGGGCCTGAGGGGTGGGGCCAAAACCACTAAAATTAATGCAATCTTTAAAAATCTTCTTCTTTACTCCTGGACATCAAGCAGTCAAACTGTTTGCATGATTGTAATCAGCAAGGGTGCCTCTACCAAAATTATGAAATTCATGGCCCTGGGGTCAGGGGTTCTAGTGCTAGGGCGGGGCTAAATAAGTAGATAGTGAAAATGCATTATTTCTTTGAAAATCTTCTTCTCTGCTCCTGGGTATTAAATAAACTAACTAAGTACATAGTTATGATGAGCAGGAGTGCCTCTACCAAAACTGTGAATTTTATGGCCCCAGGGTCAGGGGTTCTGGTGTTAGGGTGGGGCTCTAATGATTATATAGTGAAATGCATGAATTCTTTGAACATCTTATCCTTTGCTCCTGGTTAATATACTAATGATCTAATTACATATTAAAGGCCAGGGTTTATTTTATTTTCAGTGTAACAAACCCTCCGCTCAAGGTTTTGAATTTTCAGAAAAAATAAAAAAAAACAATTTTCCGATGTCAAATTTGAGTAGGGATCAAGATTTCATATGTACGAACTCGCACTTCCGGTTTTAAGATGAAACGGCGGGTAAATAAAGCTAGATCTGAGAAGATAGCTTGGTTTAGTGTAAAATTCATCGATACGAGTGCCATTCAAAACGTTTCACCCGTTCAAAGGACAAATAAAATGCTGACGACTTTGTTGCACAATGAAATGCTGGTGAGATAATTATGTATTCGTTTTAAAATTATCTGTCTGTAAATTATTTTCCTCCCCCAGGTTTTAAACTGCCCGTGGTAGCTTTTGCATATTGCCAGCGACATTGTTTAGGTCTCTGTTATAGCTTACAGTCTAAGCATCATTCTTCAGAAAAGGGTTGTTTATGAATCAGATGTAATGAATAAAACTATGGGAGAAGTTAAGTCCATTTGAAGAAGAAATAAACAATAACCCGAAGAAATAAAAAAAAAAATCAACTATTAAAAGGCAAGAATATACAAATATATACAGGCATGTAGTATCATTTGTATCAGCCAGAAAAATTATTTTACACTTAATTGAAAAAATGTTCACCCTACTCCCCAATACTCTGTCTGTTTTATAATAGGAATTATAATTTTAGGCATCAAGTAAATTTTAGAACAATGTCTACACATTCACCTAACACATATCAAAAAATGAAGATATATTGAAGGACTTTTAAAGAATTGATTTTTTAAAATATATTTTGACTAACATCACAAAATTTATATGACTAGCCCAAACTGGCAGATGATGAAATAAGCAATTAAATGTTCTACTTTCCTATCTATAAGCATTTATTTATGTGTCCAGTGGTAAGGAGCCTATTAGAATAGCATAAAAAAAGAATGTACAAATGTTAATAATTGATTTATCAAATTTTTTTTTTATATTTCCTTCTCCTTCGTGACTTTTTTATTCTCATGTTCATAACTAAACCTAAACATAAAAAAATGCTGGCCTTATAATGAAGAAAGGGGCCTCTTTCAAAATAGATATTTTCAGGGCTGCTGGGTCAGGGGTACCAGGGGGGTACTTTGACTAAAAATAAATTAATGCTTTGAAATCTTCCCTTTGATAAGCAATGGTGCCTCCTTCAAAATTTGTAAATTTCGTGGCTTTTGGATCAAAACACGAACCAAATACAATCACTGGAAAGTTGTTACATGATACTCAGGTGACCTATAATGCCCATGGGCCTCTTGTTTGATTAATATGACATAACATACTTGCTTCACACACCGTTGTTTTATTCGCATAACAAAACTTTTCCTTGTCTTCTCAATTGCACCCAGACTTATATTCCGAAACCTTCTATTTTACGGTAATCTGCAATTTTAAAACCCGAGGTGATCAAAGTAGCTCAGTGTCTTTGGCGAGGCCTAGCAAGACTACGACAAGAGAAGGGAAAAGAAATTTATATAAATATGGCCCAGCAAGTGGAGACATGGTAAAGATCGAATAAAGTTATGTTACGTTTAACAGAGTTTTTATCACTAGACCATGGTCATCCTATAATATCTATAGAAATGTATATAAAATATTGGCTTAAATACATTCAAACATATTTTTGACATTAATTGCTTCAGTCGTGCATTTAAAGACGTTCGATCCTGATATTTAAAGTCTTATATTTGGCGGAAATTGACTTTTGAATAAGTTAGCGTAGATGTGATTTAGCGTATTTCTTAAAGGCCGGGGGCGACCTAGATTTTTTGCCACCTGGTAAAATAGGCGGCGCTTATCTCCATCACTGTCAGTGCTGCTGATAAGAACTGCACTGAGCTGAGTCAGCTTTGTTTACAAATTACCGACAGTGGGAATTCCATTCCATTTTGTGTGTAAATATAAATAAAGAAATGAAATCTGTGTGTACTGCAAATCTCTAATTATTCAAGTTTAATTAAGTATACAACATTTACTTATTAACACATAAATGCAGTGTATAAACAGTTAAGTTTTTGCAGATAATCAGGACTAAAGTTTCAAACTAATTAAAATAATGGAGTTTGATTAAAAGTTCTTACAATTTGGGATATTTACACGTCTCCTTTAAATAAAATCAATTACATCAGTTTCTTCTTTTAGCTTTGAAGACACTCTTCACATATCGTGTCCAAATATTTTTCCTAAATGAGAAAGTTAATTTTTTGTAGTTCTTTTTACCCTTAGCACTTCTTGGCATTCGGTGGTTTGGTCTCCAAACAGATGTATATTCTCTGTCCACGTTTTCATTCCAATGACATACAGCCAAATTAGATCTTGCTCTGTACATGTCATCAGAAAATGATATTCTTTTGTCCTGGTATACATTCATGACATTGTTGAAGCTTTCAACATAAAATGTATCATGACATAAAATGTAATCCTGTGGATGCTTATAAACAATAGAATTTTTTACAACCCCTAGCAACAACTTCTCGGCACACGGGTTAGAAATAACTTTTCTAGATATTTCATAGTTTGGATCCATTTTGCACCTGGAGGACGAATGACAATTTGTGTAATTGTTCTTGTAATATTCTACTATGTTCAATAGAAGTGCTTGAAGTTTTGAGGTATCTTCATCACAGTTTCTAATGGCCCAGTGAAAGTGAGTGCACACTGGCTCCACTTTGTCATCAAGTTGAGATGACCAGGTTTTTCCCTCAAGATATGCTGGCCCAGAAGATACTTTTTTCAGAGAAGACTTAACTGATTTGACCGCATGCCAGGTGTCATTTTGATTTGTAGACTCACATTCCTCACGAATATATTTATTAATTGACAGATTCCTGTCATGAGTATGAATTCCTACAGTTACATTTTGATCTTTCAAATGCTGGTATATTCTTTCCGTTCCGAGTTTTTCATGCCGTTGTGACACTTGATCATCTGATTTCGTTACGTGTTGACATGATAAAACTTTGTGTGTATTGTCCCCAATAGCCACTACGCTGGAATCTTTGGCATTTTTGCGCCAGCCATGTCGTGCATCAGTCATTATATTTATACTCTCGAGATTTTCATATGATGCCACTTCCTCCAGAGTTGCTGTGTAGATGGAGTCGTCATACTCCTTTTGAATGTGTTTTTTAGATTGATTAAAAAACTTTTGCCTATCCTGTTTTGATATTTTCCCAATACCTGCTCCATCGGCAAATCTAGTGTAGTGTGATGGAAGCATCCCGCTGCATAATAAAGAATGGTTGACACGGTTATTTACCAAATATTCATTATTGGGCAAATAAGGAGATGATGACCACAGAAACGTATGCCTACACCCCTCTTCCTCGCATTGAAATTTGGTTGACATTACATGTCCTCTTTGTTGCACTTTCTTCATTTTTAAATTCCTTGAACAATTTTGACCATGGTATTCCGCAATTTCCACAAGTCTCCTCAAAGAATCTTCAGCACACAAGAAGAGTTTTTGATTCACATCCTTTTTCTGAACTTTTATGTAAGGACTAGGACCTGGAGATTTTTCTTGGGCAGACTGTGCAAAATCACCTTGGATGTGTTCCTCATTTCTTTTCTCACTCCAAAGAGAAAAGAGATATTCAATGACTTGTAGATTTCCAACATGTTTGTTCAGTTTGCCCTCTAATTCACTCCTTAGTGTTTGCAAATTTTCCAAAACACTGATTTTCTTATTTTCATCTCCCGATAATTCAATTCTGAAACTTGGTGTTCTCTTTCGTTTTTTCGGTGGACTAGACATATTCACTTTCATTCGCTATCTTTGTTTTGAGGTTTTTGGTTTTTACAAATAAATGGACAAGATACTAATTCTTGGAATATACTATTATTCTTTATAAAGGGGCGTTGGTTTACAAACATGCATAATTTTTTTTCTTTAACTCAACAAATGATGCTGAATTGCATATATGAACACTTTATAAAAAGTCTGTATTTATGTTTGAACATTTTTAAAAAAAAAACAACTTAATTTTTAGATTTCTACATCCAAGAAGCTATGTATCTGCAATCTTGACACCCCTCACATAAAAATGGTCAGACTTGACACCTAATCCTATCTGTAGTTAGCACTTCCCCGCCAAAATCCTGATCTAGCATCTGAAAATGACATAATCTGACCTTTCACTGCAGAGTTACAGAGGCACATTAGGGTTTCCTAATAAAGTTCTTTTTAAAATTTATCTATCTTAAAATATTTTAATTAAAAAATAATAATAATCACGAGTATGTAAAACATTATAATACATTTGTGCAGCTCTATGCACACATATGTGGTTTGTTTTTCTTTC